ACTGTACGTAAACCACACGTCACAACACCTTTCAAGATGGCAACTGTGTGGTGAAGTTAAGCATTTAACTAAACCATAGTTAATGACTAAACCAACTGAAAAACAAATTCTTTATTGGTTTATTTTATATATACCTGGTACTGACGACTTTTGCATAGCTCCGACCCAACGTTCTTTATTTKCAGATCTCTGTCTTATGTAATCAAGTATTCTATAAATATTGTGAAAAAAGGAAAAATTCCTTTTCAGTTTTCTACATTGAGAATGAATGATATGTCACAAGTTATTTTACTTTCTCTACATGTTGGGCTTCCTGTCCATTTTGGGAGGGACAGGAAGCCCAACAAAATGATGCATTTTCATTGTATCCCTTACTTAGATGTAGCCATTTGTCCATCCTTGTGTCTATGCAGACTGTAAAAATCTTTATATTCTTCCCAGGAAGGTTTAGTATTTGGTCCAAAAAGATCTGAAATGCTGTATAAACAATAGAAACATTAACTACTATTGAAAACACACTCAGATCGAGAAACAGGATTTTTAAAAAGTATTTCACCAAAGCTTTTTGCAGTATCACATGTAGAACTCAAAAATTATAGCCTGATATTACTAAGATAAATAGTACAGAATTCATCAGACTTAGCTCTGTCTGACAATAATTATTCTATACACATACAACATATATATTCTGCATTACCTGTGACGAAATATATGAAAATTRRATATTCTAGCCRCAATAGCACTTATCCATGGTTTCAACATGAGCTGCAGTTGATAATAATTATAGTATAATAGTTAAAAACAAATAATAATCATTGTCCATTGACAAATCAAGAAGGTTGTCACCTTTTGAATGGGCTTTGGAAAGTTGGTTTCTGGGAAGATTCCTGAAATAAAAATTCATCATTTCAATCAGTCACAAAAAGTAGATAGAACAAAAATTATGTTTAGCCAGAGGCGCCAACTCAAGCTCACAGTCTACCAAGACTCTCATGTGTTTTGTAGTTGTCATGCAGTTTTTTAAAAAGCGCTTAGAACAGAATTGGATAAGCGCTATATAAATAGGATTATATTATTATTATTATTATTATTATTATTGATATTTCATTACCATAATTTGTTTAAATTCCAATTCACTCCCAACGAGTCAAACATTTTTCTTAAATAATGCTCAATTTTCACTTTTACCATGTTTTAAAACTAAGTTAACTAACCTCCATTTGAGAGACAGAAACTTTCAATTGTAATGCGGCCAGGCTCATTCGGTTGCTGTTCATCAAATCTTCAAAGTAACCACAAAAAGATAGAGTTATTCAAGCAATGGGCAATAAACGGTACTGTAGTCCTCAAAAATCCTTAATCTAAAACAATATTTGACAATAATTTATTGAAGCATGAATATAACAAATTCACTCACCTTGCCAACAATTCCAAAGCTACCGTATCACCTAAATCATGGGCTAAAATATGAATCCTTTTTACTCCAAGATTTTGTAAAAGTAGCTCAATGATTGTTGCTTGCTCTTTTACTGAGAAATCTCTATTTGCCTGAACATAAAAAAAATACCAAGAGAGTTTCCACATAACTTATTCAAGTACTAATATTMATTGCTCATCAATAACAATGACCTCGTTGGGGATATATATAAAAGTGCTGCGTCTAAAATAAACTAATGTTGAATAATAAATTGTCTTGCTTACTGGCTTGTCACTGAAGCCTAAATCAAGCATGTCCACAGCTATAACTCTTCCAAACTTTGACTTTAAAGAGCCCCATATCTGTAATAAAATAATATTCTTGAGGTAATCCAAATGAAACCATTGAAAACTGCCATATATTGCCCAGGGATCTCAGGTGTGTTACCTTTGAGAAGTCGTAGGTACTTGTAGGAAACCCATGAATACATACTAAAACGGAGTTAGCATCACCGCTACCATAGTCGTCTAAAGATGAACCAGAATTTTAAGTTAAAATTTAGAAAACAGGTCATCTAAGCTTGCAAAGAAAAATTACAGCAATAAATGACACAAAAAGAATAAAAAGCAAATTAAATAATAAAGAAATGTTTAAAACTGTTTAGTGTGGGAATGGGTACATGGAGCGTTATAATGCATTTATCAAAGGTTATCCCCAGAGGCCATACCGGAAATGGACATTTTGCAGGGAAATATAATAAATTCCACACTTATACCTTTGTCAAATATCTTCTCGCTTGGTTTATACTGTGCGCTGTCAAATTCCCACACAAGGGAAAGTCCAAAATGTCAAATTCCCCAAGGTATGGCCCGAATAGACACGTGTTTTATAGAATTCCCTCCCTAGTGCATAGTTTGCACTTTACCTTTGTAAAACACAGCAAGACCTTGATAACCAAAGTATTTACCACTGTATCGCCATTCTAAAAGCCTTGAAGAAAGTTCTGGTGGAGGATTATTCATGTAAACCCCGAACATAACGACTAAAATAATGAAAAGAACCTGCGACGTTGAATATCGCTCCGCCATCTTCCCGCCTTTTCTTGAATCAAAAGCACCAGGCGTTCCTGTTGACGCATTGCATGATGGGGCATMACTAAAATATTTGTTTTTCTTTTAACAAAAGCTTCAAATATATCTTTTAATAGATCTAAAYGCCAAAATAGAAGAGAAAAATTAGTTTTCGCACATATTTTAAGAATTTGAAAGTGTTTTTGTTTTTTTCGGGTGAGGAGTTTCCATAGCAGCCAAGCAGCCGCGCGCTAAACAAATGTGTAACCGCGCGATCTTGAACGGTCAAGTTGAAAAATGTCTTCGACAAGTCGATCAGGGAAGAAAGTCGATGTGAGTTTTGGCTTTTATTCAACAATCTACTYATGGTTTGTATGTTTTATTCTCGTAGAGGTAATTTTAGATAAGTGTTTTTTGTCTGATGTATAGGTATTGAATAAAAAGATCCCTGAAAACCCAAGATACAAGCATGTTCGCGCGACCGTTGATACTGGTAAGAACGAAAAATCATTAAAAATCGATCGATGATTTTCTTGTATAACTTGTAGCTATTTTGTTTTTCTATATTTTTTAGGCCATAGTATCTCAAAATACATGGAAAGGATTGAAGATATGCGAAAAAGTATAGCCACATAATTTGTTATCGCTTTTGTAATGCAAATTTAAGCTTTATGTAGTTGTGTAACAGTTTATATAAATTAAGTTACAAGTGAAAAGCTGTTCTTTCAACGATGTCACTTCTAATTGCTTGCTAAAGTACTCTAGTTGGCACTAAGCATTTATATAACATACTTTTTTCTGTAGAATATAATGCGATAACGAGTTAACACCTTCAATGTTTTCAATAGATAAAATTGTGTTCAAAAAAATGTATAAAAATGTTTGGTGGGCATGCAGTAAAGTTAAATTTCAAATGAAAAATTTCTTCTTCCTTAGACTACAAGTACAAAAAAGATGAAATTTTCAAGAGAATGAAATCGTCGACGTTTGCCCAGCTTGTAAGTAAAAAATTATAATTAATATTCCTGAGAGTTTGTCATTCTTTTACATTATTTTTGCAAGATAATGTAACTCAGCATGTGGTTTTTTGGTGAAACTCATTTTAATTTTGCTTTCTTTTGTTTAAACCTTCACAAGTCAACTCTTGTATTCTGACAATATTTTGCATAGCAGTTCAGATCAGTCTAAAATATTGTTTTAGATTTCTTGCAGTTGAAAAAATCTTTAATTTTTCCAAAAGATGTTGACTTGATACATCGTATATGCTGATTGCTTTTGTTGTTTAAAGGTATTACAAGTAGCAGAAGTTATTCAAGTTGAACAAGAAAGAGAAAGCTTGATATCTGCTGCAGGTTAGTCGGCTACAATTCCTTCCTTTCATCACTACTAGGTTATAATTWACACTTTGAGAATAGACGTTTTTAATTTGTTTGTTTGCTCTTGCAGGAAGTGAAGCATCAGATATCACTCTTGTTAATGAAGAAAGAGAATGCTCTGAGAATATCCCACCTCTTGACATATCAGATGAGAATGGAAATGACAGACCAGACACTACTCGTACAGAGACATCAAGGTCCACTCTCCAAGGGTAGGCTTGATAGAATTATAACATATGCCATCTAATTAGGTATGGTGTATATGTGTGAACACCAAGGCCTTCAAAAGGCACCAGAGGAGGCACTTGAGTTCTTGATTATTTGTTTTTGTTTACTGCCATCATACATAGTCGATAGAAGGCTACTACTTGTGGAGTCTTGCTATAAATCTAATTTAGACTCCTTTACTGCCTGACATTTTGATGAGCTTCCTGTCTGAGACTACTGTTAATAGCATCAAGTACTAATTCAAATTCCTGTCTCATTASCATTATTGTGTAATTAATATTAGTATTAGGTGTCACTATAATGATTTCTATTGTTTATTGTCTAGCTTGATTCATGGTGTTGGCGAGATTGACCTAAAAGACCAAGAAAAAGAAAGTCATAGACTTAACATAGAAAGTGTCACTCCAGCACCAAATGAACCTGATGTAGAGTCAATGCCTTATTTATTACTTGATTTGAGAGAGAAGGATGCCTATGACCAGTGCCACATTATTGGAGGTATAAATTAAAATGCTTTATGTCCAGGTTATGAAAGAAGACCATTCGTTAGTACATGTAGAGAGTAAAGGGTAAACAGGGGTGTAGGCATAAATTGGTGAAGATTTCAAATATTAATTACAACTAATCTAGGTAACAGTGTTGTACCTTTTCTTTTTCAGCATTAAGCTACCCAGTCAGTATGTTATCCAGGTCTTACAATTACTTTACTAAGGAAATTCTTATGTTTGTATCCTTTATTAGAATTATCAAATTATTAATAAACTGTATAAGGCAAAGATAATGCGGAAAGTCATAGCCATGAGTTGTGCTGATTTGGGTACAAGGTTTTCTTAATAATATTTGTCCAGTGCAAGTTTTTAGGAATGTATGTTTTATCTAATGTTARTAGTTATTGATTATAATCTTTGACAATAAAACATAGAAAAACAAGCCAGGTAAAATAATAGTATTGTATGATGAAGATGAGCGTTTGTCAGGAAGTGCAGCAASGACATTTGTCCAGAGAGAGGTGGATAATGTTTTTATGCTCTCAGGGGGTAAGTTTGTTGAGAAAATAAGCTGCCTAACTTCAATTCTTTAGCTTGAATCAAAGACAACATCAAAGGCTTTGGCTTCTGTGTTTACCTAGTCTGTGACGTACCCTGCCAGAATGTGATATTATATTCAGACAGGTTCTGTAAATTGCCCTGAAGCATTCATGAAAGCCACTAACAACTTCAGCAAAGAGGCCAGTGGTCCATGTACATGTATATCTCATCATTTGTTGTAAATTTCTCTAATGTAACTTAGGATTAAAAGTGCTGGTCAAGGAATGGAGACTGTTATCATACCGTCTCCAAATTTCTTGACCAACACTTTTAAATCTCTGATATACACTGTCAAAATGTGATTGCATTCAGGTTCTGTAAATTGCCCAGAAGCATTCATAAAAGCCAACTTCAGCAAAAAGGCCTGTGAYGCATCTTTTAACTTATTATTTGTTGTAAATTTCTCTAAATTTCAGGTTTAAAAGTGTTGGTCAAGAAGTTTGGAGACAGTATGATAAGTGGACAAATTCCTCCATCATGTATGCCTACACCTCCTACCAGGAGAAAAGGATCTGGAAAATCAACTGCACGCAATCCCTCAACACCTAGTGGTCCAGTTGAACATGTTAACTATTTCACCCCAGAACGTATCCTTGAATAGCTTATTAGAATATTGTGAACAAGAATAGCAAAAAAGTTGTGGATTAGCCTAAGGGCAGAGAGTGGAGTGAACGTACAAGCCAGAGAAAACCTGCTTTTCCATTTAGTACTGCACTTCTTTGTTATACATTGGACAACAGCAAAATATATCTTGATGCCCACTAAACCTTATACTTTTAAATAAACAATAACAGTATATGACAGAAATCTATTAAAATAAATGAAATTAAACATTATAAAGTTTCTTAACATGGGAAGGTCTAGAAATTGTTCAAGATAAGCTTGATGAAGAGTTACTAAGCCAAGACAGTAAAAGTGAGTTTTTTGTTGTTGACAGCCATCAAAATAATGATACAATATTGTCAATTATACATTTTCTATCAAGGGTTTGATATGTTTATGATAGTAATTAAGGTCACCTTGTGATTGTGTTGTTTTTAATCCACAGGTCGGCTAAGTTCTCGCGTTTCAAGCAGATCTGCAGTTAGTTCAGCATCYAGTAGCAGAGTTCCAACTGCTTCTTCCACTTCATCCAATAAGAAGACTGTTTGGAGATGAAGCACTGTACCTGATAGTGATTTAATATATTATGTAAACTCTGTGTGAATGGACAATATCAATTGACAAATTGGCTTCCATAAACCTGTGAAACTATTATAAGTGTATTTATGAAAAGCAATTGATCCATATAATAGAGAAGTATGAAATCTTTTTCACAGGCTTATGAAATCCTATCACTTTTCAGTGAAGCTGAATAAAAAAACATGAAAAGTTTGAAAAGGATATCTACAGAACTAATTTCTGTGCAATGGAGTTCACGAAGTTTTTTGTTATTATTTTTGTAACTGTTATTGTGATGGTGATGGCCTCAATATTATTTTAAAATTTATGGATTTTGATGTCAGTATCATTTTGTGGTACTGCTATAAGTTGTGAGTTGGAATGCCTTTCATATGATTGTATCACTTAGCTAGGAGATATCTTATCCGTTTATTGTGTATATAAAAATTAGTATATGAATAATCACTGCAAATAAATAAAATTTTTCTTTCATTTATACGTCATTTATTGGGTAGTTCCAGAAAATATCCATACCCCTACAATGGGTGGCATCGTTTTTTGACCCCCCCCCCTCTTCTTCAGAGATTCCAAAATCAGCTTGCCCCCCTATCCCCAGGAATTCCAGAATCCTTTACTATAGAACTATAGAACTTTACTATATGAGACCCCCCCTCCCTCTCAGAATTCCGAAAGCCCCCCTCCCCTTCGGAATTCTAAAATGCCGCCTGTCGTAGGGGTATGGTTATTTTCTGGAACTACACATTTATTTATTTTTTTTATGTCAATGAGCGGGTTTTCCAAAGTCATGAAAGTTGATTTGTATGCAAGAGAAACATATTTTTTTAAATGGGAAATGGAAAAAGAAAAACGAGATTTTTCAGTTAAGAAGCAATAGAAAATATGAGTGAGAGAAAAAACCTACATTTTGCTTTCCCATTCTATTTAAGACCCGGAAGTTACTGTCATCCCAGCGGTCTTTGTCAAATAGAGTGCGCGCATTCTTCTGCGCATAACATGATTTGCCAAGTCGTGTTTTGTAGAGTGGCTTATTTTTCTTGATATCACGGTAGTTTRTGTGGCTTTAGTTTTGAACTAATGACCTTACCGTAGCCTTCAGTACTTCATGAGTTCTACTGAAGATACTAGCGTTGGAGATTTACAAGAATTGCTGCAATATTTCGCGAAAAACACGTACAAAGCACGTGATACTGAGCCCAAGGTATATTTGCRAAGTGCCACGTTCACTACCGAAACCTTTCTTTTMTCTCTCATTTGTTAAAACAAGATATTGATTTTTCAATTCTTTCATTTTTAGGTWGATCATATCCAGAAAATATGTCTTAGTCTTTTCGCTAAGGATTATAAGTATTCCGTAAGTGTTTGTCTTTGTTGATACCGGTAAAGTTTGCTCAAAGCGAACCAAATTAACGCTGGAATAGGAAATGYYATTCAGCATAYATTAGTGCTCTTACCACTCAAATCATTGATTTTRTAYTACACAGGTTATTTCTAACGGGAATGGTGAATTGTGCGCACATTATCCCATCAAGATCRTCATTTTAGAATCGAGTTTAGATAATGTTCAAGAGAGGTCAGTATATCAAAGCAATTATCGACGTTTACTAATCAGGGAATACTTAAGCTACCTTAAGTCCTATTCATTATTCGGTCTGTAAGATATTGTCTTGTAAATTTGTTTATTTGATAATTTAAAGACACAATACCGCCACCTTTGACAGTATTAAAGTTGTTTGTTTTGCTGTTTAAGATAACGTTCGTTTTTGCTGGTACTGCATTATTTCATAATGAAATTGTTTTTCTTGTTTTTTTCCCCTCAGTTTGTACTGTAAAGACAAATACTAATCCATAGAAAATTAGGATAATATACTCCCAACTTTCACAAATATTAAGCTTAAGTCAAACTGATGACTCTAACTCTGCAGGATTAACGACACATCAAATCTGAGAGAACTGTTCCAAAAGGCACGKTTTGCAAGATGTCGATCTCGCTTTGTAGTGCCAATCATCTTGTATGAAAACAAGGTATCTCATAACTTTTCTCATCCTCTCCCATTCACTTTCCCATCCATTTCACTTGCATTCTTTTGTTTCAGAATATATGTCGTTCTGCAACATTGTCAAGTGCTGCTGAAATTTATGGYCGATCAAGTTATGATTTTATATTTGCAGGTGAAGTACTTTTATATTTTTTGTTAGTATTCAGAAGGATATAAAAATAATTCCATGCTGCTTTATAGGAGGTGAGAGTATACCTGCGGAAGAGTTAAAATCTAAAAATGAAAATACAGAATACTATCCAAGGTAACACCAAGAACCAAAATGAAAGACTAACTAATACTTGCCTTGCAGTTTCTAGTACATGTACTCTATTTGTTGACATATTYATGTACTATTCTGAACACAAAATATTCTTTTCAACAGCCAAGACTTGGCTTTATTTGATCGCATTCGTGGTCAAGACATCAAACTTTTAAAAGAACTTGAAGTTGGCTTTATATTTGACTTGATGGTGGAGAAAAAGAAAGTCAAATATGGCATGAAGTAAGTCTTCATTTTTTCTGTTGTTCTTTCTTTATGGAGACTTACACCTAGTCCAGTCGCTGACCCCTAATTCTTTGCTCCGCTTTAAATTTTGTTGCCGAAGAGTAGGTTTCAACGACAAAATTTTAAGCGGAGCAAAGAATAGGGGCCAGCGATTGGACTAACTTACACCCAATGCTTTGTTTTCAGTGTGACATCATCWGAGAAAGTAGACAAAGCACAGCGGTATTCAGAGTTTTGTCTCTGTTCAATACCWTATCCAGGATGTGAGTTCTTCAGAGACTTCAAGGGAAAAGGATACACTGCCGATGGTCTTTACTTTGACTGGAAACAGGTAAAGAAATGAATGGGAATTGAAATGGGAGAATTGGAATAATGGCAATTTCAATGGTGGAAGTTTAAGGGACTGGAATTATTATTAAAGTATTCTATGGTCATATATTATAGGATTATGTGGATGCACAAATTAGAGTTCCAGAAAGAATTACTTATCAACTTGGTATTGAATGGAGTCTCTATAAGGTGATTGCATCTTAGAAAAATGTATAGTTTTAGTGTACTTTGATTGTATAATCTTTTCAGGAGAAGAGTTCTGATTTTCTTTTTGTTTTATAAAATTTGAATTCCAATGGTTGACTGCTAATCACGGGTGCTTTTGCTTTACTGTCAATCAAAACTCAGAACCAAACCTTTTTTCCGAGACTCCTCCCAAACCCAATTTAACAGTGACTTACTTTCCAGCTGGTTCGATATTATTAGAGGAGTCTAAAAAGCATTTCAGTAAGGTTGACAGATTGACACAAGAAAAGACACCATTAAAATGTAAATTGAGACATGATAAAATCATCATATTCGTTATTTACTTTTTTCTTAATATGTTTTAGGGCTGGGACTTAATAATGTTAACGCAAAACTATTTGCTACTTCTACTAAATTTTATCAAAAATGGTAAGGCAGTTTCTCCTAGTATTAATTATTTTGTCTTTAATATGATAATGTGATTTATACTGAGAAACTGAAAGTTCTGTGACCATCAACTTGTTTCAGGTGAAAGTGGTACSTTAATTCACTGTATCTCAGGCTGGGATAGAACACCTTTATTTGTATCWCTTGTGAGGTTATCACTTTGGGCTGTAAGTAGAATACCGCTTTCTTTGTAACAATATTTCACAATGTTGTAAAACAATCTATGTTTATTATGAACAATTTTATTTCAGGACAAAAAAATCCATAAAAATTTGAGTGCAGCAGAGATTTTATATTTAACGATAGCATACGATTGGTTTCTATTTGGGTAAGCAACATTTTATTTTATGTCAAAAACATGGTTTAATATTATCGCATTATTTCTGTCGTATTTTTGTTACAGCCATGATCTAGTGGATAGAATTCAGAAAGGCGAAGAGGTAATAATCCAAATGATTGTAAAAGAAAAAGTCTCTTGCGAGTTAATTTGTTAATCTCTTATTTGAAATAGTTTCTTTTTATTCCAGGTTTTCTATTTTTGTTTCAATTTTCTAAAATACATTGGATCAGATGAATTTTCTGTGGTCTCCRCACAACACGCAAGGTACCAATTCATTTCTACGTACTGATTTAACTTGCATAATGGTACTAATACACTTCAAATTGTACAATAATTACATTTACTTACAGTAGCGTTTGTGCAGTGATCCCCACCCTTCTCCCTCCAATTTTCCCCATGAGGGGAGGGGTTAGGATGAAACCCACMAATCCTGTCTTTCCATAGGGAATCACAACCAGCAGAAAGAGCAAGATGTGATTCCATGGTTCATGTAGATGCTGATATCCTACTAGAAGACTGTAATCATACTGGTAGTAACACAAGTCTCAGCAGTTGTGGAAGTGTCTGTTCTGAGTCTCGTCTTAGCTATTTTATTGGACAAGAAACACCAGAAAACTTTGAAAAACAAAACAAAATGCCATACAACTCTTTGAGGTAAGCACTGCCACATCATTAAAGCTTAGCTATACTCAGGCTAACTTCTTGTCCATCCTTTTTTTCAAAGTGGAGTACATGCATCCAACCTTCGTTCTTCCCAGACGTCTCTTAACTCGTCACCYCGTTCRTCACGTTCAACAAGTAATAGTTGTGAACAAGTCTTTGATGCCACACTAGAAACAACAAGTCCACTACCTGTACCACACAGAGCCAGGAAAAGCTCAGTAAACTCTGATCATGTGAGTGTCGTTATATGACATATGTTATATGTCTTTGCCTCGCTTGAAGCCTTATTGCATGTACACATTGCCTAAGTTAATAAATGAATAWATGATTTTCTTCTAGAGATCTTCTTCATCTTCTATTTGTGGAAGGTAAGATTTATCATATCTAAACTTAGAGAGCTTAGAAATACTGTCTGATGAGTGCATAAGCACGAAACTCAGCGTTACAGCAAACCTTGCCTCTTTGTTATTATATAATATGTAAACTTAGAGAGCTAGATATTGTTTAATTCTGAGTTGCATATTTTTTGTCATCATTTGTATTGCTACATAACYCATCCAGACAAAAGGTTTTCACCAGCCAATAACTGCAATTTTTAATGGGTCTACCAAAGAGCTGGTCGTGTAGTGATGCAAATGGCTTTAATTTCAACATACATCACTGGAGGATTWTAAATTAATCAGAAATGCTCAATTTGTTTAGTTGGCAGCTTGTGTCAGGGACAGGAAGCCCAAAGGGAACAACAACAGTCAGCCATGGCGTCAGCACAACTAGTTTGTAAGTGACAACATGTTTTTTTACCAACCAAACATCAACTTAATTTTAAATCAATTTTTGTTTGAACAGAAACTGTGAACCAATTGAGGAAGTCACTCCACGTCAGCAACGCTTGGACTCAGTACGAAATCTYTTCTTCAAAGTGTACGCCAAAGCCATAGGTTATCCYTTCCCAGAGGGCAATGCACTGTCCAATATCTTAGACCATGTTACAGAAAGAATTCGTGGAAGTTGGAGCACTGTTGTATAATTTGTAAACAGAGAAAAAAAAGATGACAATGTCCAAGCCCTTATTGTTGTCACACAAGACCTGGGTATGAAATATTATGGCATACAAATGCTTACCAATACAGAGTAAATATTTTTAAATGTTTTGATCCCAGGATTGAGACTCACGTGTGACAACAATAGGGAGTAATTATAAGCGTTAGCATGCGTGAATGAATTGAATTATAGAAATATTATTATTATTGTAATAATTGTAATATACAAGAATATGGAATATAACACTATTGCACTGATAGCAGTTCAATTCTTGCAACTTCCCTGGAAATTTATGCTATGGAATCCGAAATCCAATCCATTCCAATAARAAACTTTATTCTGGAATTCACTATTAATGATGGAATCTGGAATCCTTGCTAAACTGGAATCCAGGTGRTTTGATATYCTGAATACAAAAACTATTCCATCTTTCTCCCAACAAAGACCAACAAAACCCTGAAATCTTGTTTGAATAAATATTAAGCTGATACAATCCAGATTCAGTCCAGACAAAYGATTTTAATTGATAATAGTGAACTTTTTAACAACATTGTCTTGCAAACAGAATTGGGTTCTCAGTAAAAAGTAAGTTGTAATATATTTGGAGAACATTAACACTAAAAATTTTTGATAACTTTCAAATAAAACAGTTAATACAAAAATAGGATCTTTTAGTCATTTGTATACATTTCTTTGTTGTCTTTTTAATTGTCTGCAACTTGCTTCTGCTGTGATCAAATTGTACACGTTTATAATAGCATTATTATGACTAATAACTCTAAATTTAAATTTCATTTATTTTTATCTACATCGATATCCATTTGTAATGATTTGATTTAATGATTTTTTCAATATCTAGTGAATTGCAACTGCGTCATCTACAATAACAAGATTGACAAGAAATCATTTTGCTAAAAAACAGTAATGACAGTAATATGGTATATCAAAACAGTATTACTTTATATGAGCACTGGTTGCTTTACAGACTCTACTAATGCCTATCTTGTACACCTGTTCACAATCATTGTTTTTGACACATGCAGAAGCAGGAACACAAGAAAATGGAGTTCTCGTTCTGTTATTATATGCAAGATATTTATCAAAGCAGTTCATGTAAATCCTGCCATGCATATTTCTATGCTTGTCCATATTCTTATGATAATTTAAACTAAAGCTGACCTCCAGGATTGGTGACTTGTYTAGTCCAATGATGCTCTTAAACTGAAAAGATAATGGACTAGTTAATATGAGCAGTTCTGTTATATAATTATAAATATCATCAATTCTCCCACTGTATCACCATTTTCATCAAMAATAAGTGTCATATCCTTCACCGGTTCTGGTTGATAAATGATATAAATAGTGACTAAACAGGCAATGAATATATTAAATAATAATTCTGAGAGGAAAGCTGTTGCTTTCTTCTAAATAACTGCAGGTAACTATTGCTTACCAATGCTCATCTTCTAACAAGCTTAGAAACTTGGAAACTCTGTCAGCCTTGTTTGTCTATTGAGAAAAAAAATGCTGAAACTTCAATAACGCTCAAAACAAAAAGTGAAAAAAAATTGGAACAGATCAGACTAAGAGAATGAAAAAAAAGATGTACTACCTGAACTGCCATCTGAGCAAGCATCAATATTTTCTTGATTCCAACAAACATTCTGTAAACATACAGATCAAAGTCATTGAATAACAATATGATAAAAGATGAAACTGTGATATCAAACAGTGGCATACCCTCTGGGTCCAATGTCTCTTGATATTTCTTGGATTTCATTGTCATCAAATAGTTTTGTTTCCTTTGAGATAGAAGACGATATATGTTCAGCACAACTCAGCTTTAAAACTTTAGTTTTTTAAGTCATATTTCATAGTAATTTGTAAGCATATTTCATCTATTAAAAAGTACCTTAAGGACATTTATAAGGTGTTCTTTCCTGGATAAGTTGGGCACATGAATGACGGTATTGAAAGCTTCAATGAGACCCATTGGCTCAAGAATATCACGACAGCTTGTAGTACCAATAATGATCAATCTTCGACCCTAAACAAAGAGTAACTACATTTTTGAGAAGCTGAAAGATCTGAATTAAAAAGAGTTGTGAACTGACCTTCCTTAATTTCTTTTTAAGCAAAATMAGTAGWGCCTGAAGAACAGTGTTTGAGAAACGTGGTCCAATGCTGACATAATCTGGAAAAAAASGATTGTTCATTAAATTGAGTGTATTGTAGTCAAGGATGCMATCTGCCAGAATATTAGGGGCACTATAGGAGTCACTGTAGAGAAGGTAGCTATAGTTGTAGTAGGTAGCTAGAGCTGTAGAATATAGCTGTCAAGACAAACTCACCAAGAAGTCTTTCAATATCATCCACAATGACACAGCTAAGATCTGATTTATCAGCATCATCAAATATCTAMAACAAACCATCAATATCCCATTAATAATAAATCAATTAATGTATGTTTACGAGTATGGAAAGCTAGATGAAATGAGTCTGGACATGTCTGAGTGGATGAACTCTTAAATAAGTACTGAACATTGAGTGCAACAATATACCCCATTAACCTAATCCTGCCCAATTAACTAAAAATGCAATTTTACTTCAATCAATGTATTTATTGGTTTCCAAACCTTTTTCATGGCCTGACACTTGGCGCTGTCAACAAACCCAATCATATTCTCTGGTGTACACAGTTTGATGAATGGGAAATCAGAACCAAGAGCCATCTGGACGGCAAGGGCTGTTTTACCAGATCCTACAGGGCCTGAATAACAGAAACAGCTTCAGATCAGTATCATAGTATCACTTAAGATGAGTATTATCACCTTCATCAAAACAATCAATCAATCAAATGGCCAATCAATAAATCAATTGGCCAACCAACCAATCAATCAATTAATTAACCAGTCAATCAATTAATCAATCACTTATTGACACAGCTGTCAATTAATCTGTTAATCACAGCTTAATAACTGTGATTCAT